CGGCTACCTCTTGAGCACCGACTGCTGAGGCCACAGGCGGCCAAAAAGTACTCGTCGTAGAGCCATTTGAAGCTCGGGACGCAGTGCAGGGGTACTTGCTCTCGTACCCCTGAAGTAGAGTTCACCTTCGACTCTACTTTGAAGAGTCCTTTATCTAGGATCTCTTTCTTAGCCTTGGGGGGAACAGGCGACATGCTGCGGCCGCCTGCAAGAAGGGGCGGATTCCTGTTCCACCTGTTGAAGCGCTTGTTCAGCTCTGTGTCTGAACTCTCAATGATGAGGAAGGTGCTCCGCCAGTCCTTCCATTTGTTTGCTTTACCTCTCGTCATGAGGTAGCCCCTGTGGCTCGTCAATTGATACCAGCCGGTACCGCCTGCCTTAGGGGTCCGGCTGAGGTAGTTCATGTGGGCGAAAGCCTCGAAGCTCGGCTCCACCCCGTGCAGTTCGCACCCGGCCACATAGCCGAGTACGTTGACCCAGGAGTTCGGGGCTAACTGCCATAACCCCAACTCATACCCATCCAAGATCCGCTGAACAGCCGGATGTAGTGGGAAGCGCAGCCCAGCCTTGATGGCCGCCTCGTAGCAGCCAAAGCAGGCACTATCATAACTGGTACCAGCCGGCCAGACGACTGTGTCTTTTGGATCCGGCACAAACACTAAAAAGTCGGGGCCCATTGTGTGGTTTGCGATAAAGCTCTCCACTTTCTCTTGCATGGCCGTGATCCGGCCCCGAGGTACCGTGCAGTAGTAGGGGGTATTTTGCTCTCGGTAAGAGGCGGATGGCTCCGCCCAATCGTCCCCCTTCTCAACTGCGTGAGAAAGCCTCGCCTCTTGCAGGCGACTGTTTTTCTCTTCTGTGTCCAGAGAAGCATGGCCAGAAGAGCTAGACTCGGAATCGTCCTCTGACGAGTCCGAAGAGGACGACTCCTCCCCTCTCCCGGAGGGGCCCGCCTCCTCTCCTTTAAAAGGAGCAAGAGAGAATGTAGAATTGTCAACTATAAAATGGGAAGGGGTCACTTTGACTCCTCCCTCAGAACTGCCGGCTTTCAAGCCGCTTTGTTTCACTTCCACATCTGGCGCCTGGTCAGATGTTTCACTAATCGGCACCCTGTGGGAGGAGCCGTCTGAGTTTGAGATCCTCGCAGTCTTTTTTGTTCTGGCCATCATGCTCTGCATAGACACAGATACAGTCGGACTTTGTATAAAGGGCAAAGATGGGTCCGGAAAAGGGCAGGCGGCACTCCTAGTCCTAGATTCAGCCGTCCCCGGTGACCGGCGATCACTAACCTAGGTCGTGTCGTGTGCTTCCGTGGTTCCATTTCAAAAAAGAATAAAAAGAAAATTAAGAGTAAGAGAACCGACAGTTACCTGAACGAGTGACGATTGATGAAGTTCTGAAAATCCTTTACAGTCGGCTTGTCAGAGTAGGCGGTAGGCAGAAAGGGTCCAAAATGTCAGAGCAAGTTCAGGGGTCCGAATGTTTCAAAAAGTTCTCAAGTGTGAAAATGACTGAAGTCAACACTCCCTTATATAGGCGAAGTGAGAAGGCGAAGGGTCACTTCCAGAATTCATAATTTGGGCGGGAGAATCTCTCGGCCTTTCGCCGAGTGACACCTGTAGCAGGCCGTCGCCTGTTACAGTGCGACACCTGTCACAGGTAACACGTGACCAGTCACCTGCCACCTGTGAGGGGCAAATGATTAGGGGATTTTTCTCCCACCAATCGGAATGCGCCATGTGGGCCAATCAGGTCCTGCCAAGTGTCCCTCAGTTGGAACTGTCAGGGCTTGCCACGTGGCACCCGCTTATTCGTCCACCTTGGACCTATTATGTCATGACACGTGGCAGACTCCATGCCTAATGGAGAAACCGGCCACCCAGGCCCAACTTCCGAGGAAAGCCCAATCAGCCCAAGGTTAACCTAAACCTAGGATTGGCACGCTTCTCAAAGACTATAAATACTTAATTAATCCTCATTAAAGGGGATTAAGCAATTAAACACTCTCACCTAGAGAGACCCAATCACTTTAATTTCCGCATTAATTACTCCTTAATCAAGTACTAACTTGACCGTCGGAGGCGGATCTCCAACCATCCGGAGCATCCGTTTGTTTTGCAGGTACAGGCGTCCGGTTCCAGTCTCGGAATTGTAACTCTTCCGCAGGACATCAGAAAACCCCGAAACACCAGCCAAACACCTTCCACCGAGGAAGAATAGAAAGTCGCCAAAACCTCCGCCACTAGGCCAGGGTCAACCGGTTTCCAAGACCAAGGGTCACAGGGGACTGGCAAAGAAAGGCATAAGCCGATCCTTACAATGTTGAAAATTAGAACATGGAAGGAAACAAAACTTCAAGCATGTAAGACCCATCCTTGCAACGATCTTCAAACACCTCTTAGCACTTGTAGAATCCACAATATAAGGTCTATAGCTTTCATTAACTAAGCTATAGTAGCTTTACGCCCGACCCTTTATCAAGATAACTTAATTTGATTTTCAAACCTACGAAGTCGAATTTAGTCTAATTGTAAAATTAATACAGAGTATCTAAAAAATCTCCTTGCATATGTTCGATCTGAAGCAAGACACAACAAGGTACATGTAATAAGGTGACATGTACATATGTTGATTGTTGATGTGTACCACAATAAAGTCAATATATATCATGTGAAACTAGATATTAAAAGTTGACCCAACTGACTGATCTGTAACCGATTTGAATATGACTCGCACAAACATAATAATTTATCGGATAATTTGCCAATTAATACCGCAAGTTAATACCACTTTGTAAATTACTACCGCAAATTAAAAAAGTTGTGAATTACTACCGCAATTTTTTTTTAAGATGTTGCGATTACTACCAAATCTCCATTAAACCCAACTATGACGTCATTATATCCCTTTAACCTGTGTTTGACCATAGTTAAGGGCTTTAACCAAACCCCCCCTCCCAAAAAAAAAAAGAAAATGGTTTAGGATATAATGACGTCATGGTTAAGGGATTTAACCATAGGTTAAAGTGATATAATGACGTCATAGTTGGGTTTAATGGGGGTTTGGTAATAATCGCAACATCTTAAAATTTTTTGCGGTAGTATTAGTTTGCAATTAGACTCAATCTAATTTCATCAAATTCATCCCAAACATCCAAATTAACACCTCCATCCCAAATATAACACAATGATTCAAATATTTGATGGTACGTCAATTAATCAATCATGACGGGCAACATCAATTTTCATCACGATAATCATGATCATGTTGAAACTTATTGCTACATTTGAGACCAAGGATTAGGTAAATCTGTTCACTTTTGATAGTTGTGCATTAATTATTTATTAAACCAAGTTGGGGTTATTTATTATTTGTTGCTCTGTCCAACAAGTGAACGACGTTGCCTTGAAGGGTCTGAGGCTAATTTTGACAGTTTTAATATTTAGAGTAGAGGATTACATCATCCCACTCGTCATCTTTGTGGTTATTCTTCATGTTCGTGCACTACTATACGCCATACTACCTCATTAATCTATCTTTTCTTTTTGCCCAAGCCAGACTATTAAATTAACTAAATAATACTCCGTACTTCGTAGTTTGTACCTGGCTGGACTCGATAAGGGGAATTTATGGTAAATTTTCCGAGTGTTCTGCAAGTTTTCGTCTGAGAAAGTGTAAGGGTCTATTCTGATTTATTGATTTGAAATGAACTAAACTAGTTAGAACTGAATTGATTATAACTGAAATGAACTGAATTGATTAGAACTGAAATGAACTGAATTGAACCGAACTATTTATTAGAGAAGGAAATTAGAAATTGAAGTGATTCAAGTTGAACTGAAATTAAGCCGAAGAGAACAACTAATTACTTACAAATTACTCGGGTACAACAATTTGATTTTGACTACTTTATATGCCTCTTTTGTACTAATAATATTACGAAGTATAAGAATTGGAGTTTTGCACAATTCATCACTCTTGTTTGATCATATAATATGATTTATACGTTAGGCAAAATATAGTTATGTGAGATTTTTTTAGATTCGTCTCATAAACTACAATTACAATATCGACTTTCTCTTATACAAAGTATAGATATCTAACATATAAAATGTGATTTGGGATGCGTAACTTAATTCTTGATACTATTATTAGAATGAAGGAAGTATTAGCGTTGACTATATTTTATTTTGTACATTAAGTACGTGATTGTTGTCATTATACATTGAAATCAATTCTAACAAATGTAGACATATACAATTACTTTGTTACTTCGTATGTCAATTTTCTAATCTCTTTTACATTGTTGATAGTCAAAATTTTTACATTATAGTGTAAAATTTTCAATAGTTTTTGACTTTTATAAGCTGCCTTTTTCAATTTCATTGTTGAAAATAACTAAATACTCCGTATTTCATATATTGTTTTCGAAAAAAAAATGTCATATATTTATTGATAAAAAAAGTGCTAAAAACCAAACAAATAAAAAAGGGAGAGAGTCGTACGTGCATATTTCTTCTGTTTCTTTTTATTCAAAGGAGAGATGATAAATAATACTTGTATAAAAGTCTAAGCGAGTTAAGTAAAATAGAGAAACTACGAAGTATAATGATCTTTACATGTGATTATTTGACTAGTAAAAGGTTGAGAAGGGACTTTTTAAAATTAAATTGATGAATAAGCAACTTGACACGTTAACTTCTTTTCAGTATTATAAAAGGAAGATACCTTCTTTTTATTCAAGTGCGAGAGTTAAAAAGCTCACGAAGCTTAAACTTCCAAATTCATTCCCATTCATATTAATAAAATTAGATTTGCACCAAAAAAAAATATTGGAGTAATAAAATTAGATACTCGTATTTGAAGAGCTGAAAACTGAGAAAAATAGCAATTGTGGGTTTTTCTTTTTCCTATTTTGGGTAAGTTTGCTTCCTCTAATTTTATTTAAATATTTTTTTTCTTTCCCTTTCTTTTTTTTTTTTTTTTTTTTTTTTTTTTTTTTTTTTTTTTAAGAAATACAGAGTACTATTTCTGGTAATTTAGTTAATAAACGGGTTTTGGTCTTTTTCTTCTATTTCCTACTGTATTTGTTCAGTTTCATCAGAACTTTTTTTGGCTCTTTTTATAGTACAAAGTACTTCGTACATTCTGACTAAAATGTCTAAAATGCTAAAAAGACTAAAAGTACTAACTAGTCTTGTCATGGTATTCTCCAATCCAATAAGATGAGCTAGAGAAAGGGTATATATTTGAAAGTTTTTCTATACAACGGTTGCGTTATTTTTACTGCGTATTTGGATCGAAAGGTGGAGTATTCCTAATTTAATTTGAATGTGAAATGGGAAAGACAATAAGGCTTGTACAAGTAATTGAGGATCTATTTTCCTTTGATTTTGAAAAGATTTGGAAAGAAAATGCATCTTCTTTGTAAAAGATGCCTACTTACTATATTTTCAAGTCCTACTAATTGGTTGAGGAAGGGGAGTTGGTAGAAATGAATTTGTTTTTTTTTTTTTTTCAAAAAGTTTTGATTGGTTCAATCATGGAAAGCCGACATTAGTTTTTGGGGTCAATTTTAAATTTAGTTGCTTTATTGTTAATAAATAATAACACGTACTTTAACTTCTATAGTTAATTCCTCAAAATAAAATAAAAACTTTTATAGGTAATCTATATTAATGCACAAGTAGCACAACTTTCTCACAACTCTCCCTGAATTTGGGGTTGGGAAATGGTTGGACCAAAAAGATATACGAATAATTAGGATTAGGAAGAAAATGGATATTTTTTAAAAATTTGTTTTATTGAGCAGGTTGAATACAAATTCAATGATACAATTTTTTTTTTTGTTATTTTATCTCAATTCTCGAGGATGAATGCCAAAGAAATAGGAATTAAAATATATTGAACACTTTATCAGTGAGTTTGGACGAGGATATTTTGGAGGGTAGAGTAGGAACAAAAGAGTGAGGCATTATATATTGATTGTTTATAAGTGAATTCGGGATTAGTTGGAGTCCAGTAGGCTCTGGCTGGATTAACGATTATGCTTGCATACGTAAAATCAAGGGAGGAAGGAAAGGAATTAAGGATTTGATTTTCCTTCCCTTTTCATGAACCAAATCTTTGCAATATCAGAAATATTTGGAAGAAATTTGCAAGTCCAGTCTGTCTCTCCCCTGTATATTATTTCCCTTCTCCTCACCTCAGCTCCCTTCATTTTGTCTTCCCCTCACACTGTTAGTGTTATTGCTAATCAAATACATCGTAAAGGTGCAACTTTCTCACAACCCCGGCCTCAAAATGCATTTTCAAATTTTTGATTGGTTAAATCATATGAAATTGTAGTCTTTTTTATCAGTGTTAATCGTGTACATATGTCAATTTAACATGTTAATTTACATTGAAAACTACCATTTTACATTCTAATTAATAGTCATTTGAAGTTTTTGCTAAAAATGAACTGTGTGACAATTGTGGGATAAATGGAGTAGTAGTGTATACAAAGAGTGTATGTAGTAAATTCTGCTGTTAAATAATTTTATTTTTCTCAATTATGAGGGTGCATAATACCTTAATAGTACAATTTTTTTTTTTTTTTTTTTTTTTTTTTTTTTTTTTTTTTTTTTTTTATCTTCTAATGTTGAAATTATATTTTGTAGGGTGAAAAGAGTGGTGAATTTCAATCTTTTCATATTGAATTGGTTGAAATTTGTGAGATGGACCGCGAAAATGGAGTTGAGAAGGCAACATCTTCCAACTCCGATGCTACAGAACAGAATCAGAAAGAGACTAAAAAACAAGATGCTACTATGAATAAAGTCCCATTCTACAAGCTCTTTTCTTTTGCGGATTCTACTGATAAGGCTCTGATGATCATTGGCTCCATTAGTGCAATCGGAAATGGTGCGTGTATGCCCTTGATGACCATAGTTTTTGGTGACATAGTTGATGCTTTCGGAGAGAATCAAGATCCTAATCACATTATTGATGTTGTATCTAAGGTATGTCATCCAATTGTATCTATGGTATCAATTTTGCGATTTCTTTAGTATGTACTTACAGAGATGATGATCAATTCGATTGTTTGACATGATGTTTGTATACTGTCCTAAAATATGTACAAAATCTTTCAACATATGCTCAACTTCTATGTTATCTTGATACAGGTGTGTCTAAAATTCATCTACTTGGCCATCGGAGTAGCAATTGCTGCATTTCTTCGTAAGTTTGTTGAACTTGAGCTTGTGCAAGAAAATTATTCGTCTAAGGTGTTAGAAACGGAGATGTTATAATCTAAACTCTACAAATTATTTTCAAAAATACCTTGATCATGAACTTAAATAATTATTAGCTAATGAGCAACTTTTTTTATTTTTGGCTGTTACAGAGGTGGCTTGCTGGATGGTCACAGGAGAAAGACAGGCTGCAAGAATTAGAAACTTGTACTTAAAAACTATTCTTAGACAAGATGTCGCGTTTTTTGACAATGAAACAACCACGGGTGAGGTTGTGGGAAGGATGTCCGGAGACACTGTCCTCATACAAGACGCTATAGGGGAGAAGGTACCTCACACTTTAAAATCTTAACCATGTTCATTGCTCTTATTCATCATTGTTTACTTCATTGTAATATTTATACTAGTCTTGATCCTTTTTTGGTAGGTTGGCAAGTTTCTACAAATGATATCAACATTCATCACAGGTTTTATCATTGCATTTATCAAAGGGTGGCTTCTTACTCTTGTCATGTTGTCCTCGATACCCCTTCTTGCCATTGCCGGTGCAATCATGACCATTACTATATCAAAGATGGCAACGAGAGGCCAAACTGCTTATGCAAAGGCCGCAATTGTTGTAGAACAGACTATAGGTTCAATCAGAACTGTAAGTTCATTCAATTGCCCACAATATGTTACATATTTAGTATTAGTGCTAAATTTCCTTACTTCTTTACACCATGTATCTCTCATTTCAGGTGGCATCATTTACTGGTGAGAAACAAGCTATTGCAGACTATAAGAAGGCTATTGCAAGCGCGTATAAATCAGGTGTCCTTGAAGGAGTGGCTTCAGGAACGGGTTTGGGGGCCTTAACGTTGGTTATCTTCAGTAGTTATGCTTTAGCCATATGGTTTGGCTCGAGGATGATTATTGAAAAAAATTACACAGGGGGTACCGTCCTTATTGTCCTTATTTCTGTCGTGGTTGGATCCATGTAAGTCCATTCTTTCCATCTTACTGAACTTTTAAAAACTCAATTCATATATATTGAATCGAAAATTATCTGCACTTTATCTGAATCATATAAGTAATCTCTTCAAGGATAATGCTGAAGTCTGTTCTGTTTTATAGGTCCTTGGGGCAAGCATCTCCCTCTATGAGCGCGTTTGCTGCAGGACAAGCAGCAGCATATAAGATGTTTGAGACCATCAATAGAAAATCAGAAATCGATCCTTATGACCCCAATGGAAAAACAATGAATGAAATTCGCGGAGAAATTGAGTTAAAAGATGTTCATTTTAGTTACCCCAGCAGACCTGATGAACCAATTTTTAGCGGATTTTGTCTTTCCATTTCAAGTGGCTCAACTGTTGCATTGGTTGGACAAAGTGGGAGTGGAAAATCGACAGTGATTAGTCTCCTAGAGCGGTTTTATGATCCGCTGGCTGGAGAAGTTTTAATTGATGGAATCAATCTTAAAGAATTTCAGCTAAGATGGATCAGACAAAAAATCGGCCTAGTAAGTCAAGAGCCTGTATTATTTGCATCTTCAATCAAAGATAATATCGCGTATGGGAAGGATGGTGCTACCATTGAAGAAATAAAGATCGCAACAGAGTTGGCTAATGCTGCTAAGTTCATTGATAAATTGCCTCAGGTATGGTTTAAACTACTTTTACATCTTTACTCTTATTGTTCTAGAGCCAAGTTAAAATATACATTATAAACTATTAAGCTTTGGTTCGTGTTGTTTATGTTTTCAGGGGCTAGATACCTTAGTCGGCGAGCATGGAGCACAACTATCAGGAGGACAAAAGCAAAGAGTGGCTATAGCAAGGGCCATTCTAAAAGATCCGCGAATTTTACTTCTAGATGAAGCTACAAGTGCACTAGATGCAGAATCTGAGAAGATTGTGCAAGAAGCATTAGACAGGATAATGGTAAACAGGACAACTGTCGTTGTTGCTCATCGTTTGAGTACAGTTAGGAACGCCGATATGATAGCAGTCATTCATCAAGGAAAGGTGGTTGAGAAAGGTAATATTGTATTCTAATGTCACCCTTTTACAAATCATGAGGGCAAACTGATAATATTTTTGTTCGTTGCTATGAATTAGGTCCACACTCGGAACTATTGAATGATCCTGAAGGAGCATATTCACAACTTATACGACTACAGGAAATCAGAAAGGAGTCTGAACAAGTTGATGATATCGGAGATCATTCAATACACTCTAGTCAGAGAAAACTATCCTTAAGATCATTAAGTCACGAATCCTCTAGGAGGGTAAGTAGTAGTCGCCGTCACTCTTTCTCTGTAGAAGGTACTACTGCTACATTGTCCCCTCCAGAAGAACAGCAAGAAGTTTCAATTTGGCGCATTGCTTCTTTGAACAAGCCCGAAATTCCGTCACTCCTTCTCGGAGCTATCTCTGCATGCGCGAATGGCCTTATTTTTCCACTAGTCAGTATAATCCTCTCTAGTGCAATCAAAATGTTTTATGAACCTCCTAACAAAATGAAAAAGGATTCCAAGTTTTGGTCCCTTATGTTTCTACTCCTTGGTATAGCATCACTAATTACCCAACCACTTCAATTCTACTTCTTTGGTGTGGCCGGTCAAAGGCTAATACAACGTATTAGGTCCATGTGTTTCGAGAAAGCAGTCCACATGGAAGTTGGTTGGTTCGACGAGCCTAATCATTCGAGTGGTGCAGTTGGTGCAAGGTTGTCTGCTGATGCAGCGATTGTGCGTGCTTTAGTTGGAGATACACTAGCATTGACTGTTCAGAATATTGCAACAGCTGTTGCTGGTTTATTGATTGCTTTCACTGCAAATTGGATATTGGCATTCATTATTCTAGCCTTAATACCCTTTATAGGCCTTAATGGATATGTCCAAGTCAAGTTTTTGAAGGGATTCAGTGCAGATGCTAAGGTTCGATTTTCTTTAACTCGATCATTGTATATGTTTATATGTCATAACAGCTACATTTCATTACAAAATAATCCTTTGAATATTTACATACTTATTGATGATTATTATATGCTATAGGAATAAATGTTGGAAAATAAAAGCTCTAATTTTTCCCTTAAACTATGTAACATGACAAGTTGAATAGTGTACGAGGATGCCCCAATTTCTCATAGTGAATTTGTTTCTCACATGACATTTTTGTAAATAAATCAACAACTTTATTCAATTGTGGAGCCCGCCATAATGAAAAAATTGTTGATTTATTCACAAAAATGCCCCCATGAGAAACAAATTTCGTAACAGAGAATTTCCCGTTGTGTACGTTAAGCAAAAATTGAGAGTAATTGACTTGAAACCACTTCTTAAAAAAAACTTCTTTGAAATTTTGCAGAAGAAGTATGAAGAGGCGAGTCAAGTTGCTAATGACGCGGTCGCTAGTATAAGAACCGTTGCTTCTTTTTGTGCCGAGGAGAAGGTAATGCAACTATACGAAAAGAGATGTGAAGCCCCAATTGAAGCAGGTGTGAAGCAAGGAGTGGTTAGTGGGGTGGGTTTCGGGCTATCTTTTGCTTTGCTGTTTCTTGTCTATGCCGGAAGTTTCTATGCTGGAGCTCAACTTGTTGCTCATAAGAAAACAACATTTTCTGAGGTTTTCAAGGTATATGAGTATTGCATTTGCTTCAAAACCTTCCAAATTATACATTTTTTCTTTCCTATGCTTAAAATGTATGTTCTTCTGTAGGTATTTTTCGCGTTAGCGTTCTCAGCAATAGGAATATCACAATCAAGCTCCTTTGCAACTGACAGTAGTAAAGCCAAGGATGCAGCTGCATCCGTATTTGCCATCCTTGATCGTAAATCTAAGATTGACTCAAGTGACGAATCTGGGATGACCTTGGATAATGTCAAGGGTGAACTTGCACTACAACACGTGAACTTTTTGTATCCTAGTAGACCTGACATTCAGATTTTCCAAGACTTGTCCTTGACTATTCACTCTGGCCAGGTAATCTCTAGCTTCGAACATGCGTTTACAACATATCCCTTGCTAATTTGCTAATTGCTATAGCCTTGCCTGGAAATTCCCTGTTTCTCATGGCAGAAACAAAATTTGTTTCTCATGGGGCATTTTCATGAATAAATCAAAAACTTTTTCATTATTGTGGGCTCCACAATTGAATAAAGTTGAATAAAGTTGTTGATTTATTTACGAAAATGCCATATGTTTCTCACCATGAGAAACTGGGGCATCTTGCCAACGAATACTTGTGTGTGTTCTAAAACTGAGTTGAAATTTCTGTCTTTATGTTCGCTTATCAGACTGTTGCTCTTGTGGGAGAAAGTGGGTGCGGAAAATCAACTGTCATATCCCTCTTACAGAGATTTTATGATCCAATTTCGGGTTGTATCACACTTGATGGGATTGAACTTAAGAAGTTTCAGTTGAAATGGTTGAGACAACAAATGGGGCTCGTTAGCCAAGAGCCTGTCCTTTTTAATGATACAATACGTGCCAACATTGCGTATGGAAAGGGTGGCAATGCTACTGAGGCCGAAATCATAAATGCTGCAGAGCTCGCAAATGCTCACAAGTTCATAAGTAGCTTACAAAATGTAAGTATCATACTAATGCATAAATGCATAATTACATCTCCTCTATTATTTATGCGTTGTTATATTTAACGAATTGTGTGACATGTTGCACGTAGGGCTATGACACGATCGTAGGAGAACGAGGAGTTCAACTGTCAGGAGGGCAAAAGCAGAGAGTTGCCATAGCCAGAGCCATAGTAAAGAATCCAAGAATACTACTATTAGATGAAGCTACAAGTGCACTTGACGCCGAATCTGAAAGAGTTGTGCAAGATGCACTAGACCAAGTTATGGTGGATCGTACGACAGTTGTTGTTGCTCATCGCTTATCTACTATAAAAAACGCGGATGTGATTGCAGTGGTAAAGAAAGGGGTCATTGCAGAGAAAGGGAAGCATGAAACTCTACTTCGTATCAATGATGGTGTTTATGCTTCTTTGGTTGCACTTCACATGAGTTCATCCTCTTAACTATACCGCAAATTTTGTCTTAAATTTTGCTAGTTTCTATTTTTACTACATGAAAACCTTCGAACTAGCATATACCTCATCATGAAATCGATCTCATAGGAGATATGTTGGAAGTTTTTAGGAATTTTTTTGAAAATCTTTATTATACTGAATTCTTTTTGTCCATAATTTTGAGAGTATCATTTAATTCTTTGTACTCAAATTGCCAAATTCTTTTTACAACAAATCAATTATGGAGTGTATTATAACTTCTGAACACTTGGTTTATTTACAGTTTAGTCATCACAATGAACTTAGAATTGTATAGTTCCGTTACTCAATTTTTGATGCAAGGATTTTCTTAAGTATGTATGAAGTACTTCGAATCATATTCACAGTACGGAGTATAATATATGGTACGCAACTTATATTTTTTTAAGTAAAGAAATTTACACGGTAAGGTCAACTGGGCCCAACCAAGGCTCATATCACAGATTCACAGGAAACTTAAATGGCAATACTCTAGAGGGGTCAGGGGTGAGATTTGTTATTGATGAGGATCGAACCTTGCACCTTAAGGATGTGAGGCGACCTCTTGTGCTAGTGCAACACCAAGAGGGGAAAAGTATGCAACTTATATGTTCCTAAGTTGGACTACCTATTTCAAAATTAAACCTAACGCGTTTGTATAATTATATGTAGACCCATTATGCCACTTTTACTAAATTTTTAGTGTCGCTATACATAATCCCCAACTCCACAAGAATTGAACCCCTAACCTCGGTTTTACGATTGCCACATACTCACATAGTGAACTACTGTACTATGAATCTATGATGCTATCTATTCTGGGATAACTATATCTAAGGCACACAGCAATATGGCGCACAAAGTAAAAGAATGGCGCACAAAGTAAACGATACGTTGTGACTGCTTAAGGTTAGTAATTAGTGCCAAACGTTGTACTGTTGCTTTACTAACAGTTTTATGACATTGACACCCTTTGTATTGTGCGATTCATTTGTCAATTAAGGAGTTCACAGGTGCAAATTTATGCCTTCTAAAGCTTGACTACTCCTTGCGACTTTTCGAGTTTTTTCTAATGTAGAATTTGTTATATACACCCAGTTTTATGCCTTTGGAAGAATATTGGGGACAAAGCGAATTGTATAATTTTCACTAATTGATGAGGCATTGGCCTAGTGATTAAGATTGAGCGCTTGTATATATACAACCAACCCAAATATAGATACGAAATGTTCTAACTATCCTCCCTTCTTTTCAGTTTAAGCTCAGACGGTAAATTCTTTATTTTTATGGGAATAACTAGCATGTTACATGTCAACACACTATATAGTACAAACAACAAGGCTTATAATTTAATCAAACAGAGGTAAGCAATGAGAGAGATATCAAATGTACAAAGCAAAAGATTTTGTTAAATGCTGTTCAATTGGGATGATAAATACTTATACTTTTTTTTTTCGAGGAAAATACTCCGTAAATAATTATACTTAGATGACACGTATATGTAATTTATATTTGTATATAGTCGCGCATGTAATGAATGTATGTGTAACTTATATGGAGTAATTATATAGTGGCGCATGTAATGAATGTTCTGTCCATGATATTATACAAACCACAACACAAAAATTGGTGTCCATGGTAAAAATCATATACGGTAAAAAGGCTGTAATCCTGAGTAATTATTATCAACACCAATCAACAGTACATATTCATATTAATCATATCAAAAAAGGACCCATTAAAATTCCTCTTACATTAAATAAATTATTCTACTATAATGACTAAATATCTTTTCTAATAACACCTGCATACATAAAAGCAACTCTTCTAATAATAATGCCTAATTTATGTTAATAATAATACTAACATATGCTTAGTATATTTTTAAACTTAAAACTTTTTTAGGACCTTCATAGGAGATATGATTTTGCCTGTTGTTGTTGATCAACCCCATTCTTTCCGGTTTCGAGCTCGGTCGTCGATCGCCTAATCAGAAGGCAAACGATGGTTGTTTTCTTGATGAGGATGGTATATTATGGCATTAGAAGTAACATCAAAATCCCTCTTAAAATGACTCCAAAATGAATTTTCTTCAGATGGGTTTACCATTTTTTGATCTATTATTCCATTAATAGCTTCTGGTATTGGTTGATCTTTCATTACTTTCTTCCAATAATCTTCAGGACTATTTCTTGCACCAATTCCATTGGCAAACTACAAACAAACAAAAAAAAAAAACGATCAGAAAATTCAATTCACGTACGGTACAAATACTCGTATTTTAAATAAGTCATACGGCATCTACAATAATAACTAGATCGATGAGACGCGGATTACCAAGAGTAGTATGAAGAAGGAGAGGAAGAGAACACTAGAAAACTTCATGGCAAAGATAGACAAATGAAAAAAAAAGAAATGTATGTTTATGAGTTTATCTACTTGGTTATGAACAGATAATATAGGGTTAGATCACTTATATTTATTTTATAAGCTAAGGTAATTATAACGGTCCAACAATGTTTAATTTATATAGTAGTAAAATATAGAGGGAAAATGAATAGTAGTAGGTACCCAAATTCCACTGTATAAGATAAAGTCAATTATAATCCTCAAAAGAGCATTAGAAGAAAGTCAAAAGGCAATTATTCCCTTTGGTGTGGAACTGTGGATTTTGTGATAACCTATTTTATGGGTGTACATAGATTTAATAAGTGGGCATATAATTATTGATGATTGATTATCTTTAAAAAAAAAATTTAGCTCTGTTAATTATGACAACAAGTAACTTAAAAAGTAAAATTTTAGAATTAATTAAGAAAGTTTGATGTACTAAGCATATGCAATAGCATATCTCTTGGCTTGATTGTTTACCACTCCCTTCTCTAAAATTTTTCATTTTTGACATTTTTTGTATAGAAAATCACCGATAAAATATGAAAACCTTAGAGGCGAAGGAAGTAACTTATTCTGAATTAATTTCCATGTAGATATTTTGTTCTTGTCATTTCTTAAGTTTCCTTCTTCATTTTTGCTAAATGAATTTTATTTATGGAAAATGTGCTAAAAATGCAACAATTAAGGAACAAAGTATGAGATTAAATACTTAAGAAGAAATCTCCGGAGATCAATGATCATGCCTTTTTATTTATTTATTTATTTATTTTTATTTTACGAGCAATTATCATACTTGCTCCACTCTGAAATGCACTAGTTTAGTGAGGTGATATACTGTGTACTTGTGCTGTATAATCGATTTTGGCTAAAAGCCGCCTAGAAGTTCTCAATTCAGTAAATTTTATGAATTTGATTGACCTTACCTTAATTTTCTCTTACTTTTTATATTATTTTATTTGCTAAATAATGCTTCTAGAGATTGTGGTTTTGTCAATAAAAGTGGTCTTTGTTAGACAATAAAGATTTAAGTATAGTTTTTACCCTAAATTGAAGTTGATAGAGAAAAAAGGCGGTACAAACCAAAAACTATGGGCTGAATCTTGGAATGGACGAATAAGGAGTATACCTCCATATACTTAATTAATTAGGATTACACATTAATATCAATATAATCATACCTAGTAGCTAGACCCTTTGAAATACAAGTGTGTATATTTGACTATTACATCTCTTAATTAAAGCATTATTTCTTAAAGAAATGAAAACACTAGGATGCAAAACTTGAAACATACTTAACATATGCTAAATTGACTATAAAAATTACTTATGTAGATCGAAGCATAACATAAAATGTAGATATATAGATGGTAAAAGTCAAAAAGACAACAATACATAAATAACGAAAGAATTATGTGAAAGTGTATACCGAGAGAGCGTGGTGGGAATTTGGCCAAGTATGTAGTCTTAATTCAGCTCCTTTGGCTTAAAAGACGCATGATGCACTGTTAACAAGTCAAAAAAGAAAAGACACCAACTCAAAATTAATTGTATTATTAGATTTAATTTGTGTTATCTTAAAAATAGTTCAATTGTGTTTTTTTAGTAACTGCCAAACTCCAAAGTTGACTTTTGGCCTTGAGAATCTTCTTCGTTCTTTGATTTGATTGATGCATAAGGTAAGAACGATTGTGGCTTTAATGCCACTTTCTACGATTATGAGCTGTTTGTAAATGGACTATATATTTTCCAGCAAATCATATCAATGTATCATCATGTATTCATGTGTATTGATGCATAATATTTTGACCTACTTTATGAAAAAATCTATTTGTCTAACTAGATGAATTGGCTCGGTTGAGACTCTAAAAAGGTGAAATTGTTGCAAATACCTGTAATGAGAAAATAGGGTGGATGATATATTAATATATAGCAAAATCAATTAGCCATTTATCGATCTGATTAGACGCCTAGATAAGTAGAGTGATATTATAGCTTCATATGAATTATGTATGATTGCATTTTTAATTAGATAAGGTGAAAGACTTAGCTGAATTTGGTTTCCATGTCCAACTTCATTCAGCGGATCAAGTTTGATCTTGAAAGTTATGTTAAATTTATATTTATGTAGAGCCTGTATTCATAAATTGGTCTGAAAAGGCTCAAATAAAAAGCTAACATCAATCAAAAACTAATGAAAAAGTCATTTGCCATACACCCTCGATACTTTAATGAACAATATATATTCCCATTTAAACTAGCAAAAAATCCGACTCAAATCTTGAATTCCTAATATATATATATATATATAGGGTCGGGATCCGGTGAGACCATCCCCCTATAAGAGACCATCTCTTATATGAGACCAAATCTGGGCCCTTGAACTAAATAGATCTGACGGATGAAAAAGCGCATAGTAATGGAAAAATCAGTAAATACACCACCTAACTGTCATCTCTCTCCACCTAGCTAACTAACTTCTCTCTCCACCACGAAGCTTCATCAATGGCGGCTAATCAGTAACGATGTTTCTCATTGCTTCAAATTGCTTCATCAATTGCTTCATCAAATTAATCATAAGCAAGTTCACACCGACCTTG